AAAAAAAAAAAAAAAAAACAAAGAAGAAAACAAAGACACAAAAGAAAGAACAAAAATACGAAAGACACAAAACTAAAAGAAACACAATAAATAAAATCAATACCAAGACCAAATATCCTACTTGCCTTCCCCGACAACGGCGCCAAATTGTTGTTAGTATATTTACCAGAGCTAAATCAAAGAATTCAAACACCGGGTCGTCTCTCAAGGAAGGTTGGCCGGATAAATTTGTACGTATATTTAATCACACGAAAGGAGAAAACAAGGTCCTAAACACTCTAATAAGATTGGTTTGGTTCGATTTATCCACTACGAACTATAAAAATAAAGCTAGCTATTCCAAACTCACAGCTCAAACACAAATTCAAATGGTATAAATGGACTAGGGTGTCGGGGACAATGATTTTCGGTTCTCAGTACATTTAACAGACAATCAACTACTGCGCTAATGGACAAGCAACAACCAATTCATCTAGAGATTCATTCTCAATAACTCACGTAACAAGAGAATAAGCATAAACAAAAGATTATCGAATCCATTAACACATGGACAATACGCTTCCAAACAAGTCTAGTCTAAACAAGCCGAGATCGATCGACTTCTCCCCTTTCGGTTCTAAAATCGATTAAGTAGGTTAAAATGGTGATCAAGCATTCAACCCTAGGTTTAACATAACTTGTCTAGATTGAGTAATTAACATTCACACAAACAAAATTGAACTGGAATAATTATCCCCTAACCCTAGCTATTGAATTAGTTGCTCATCACGATTCCAACATAAACATTCATATCAACCCAAGAAATCATCATCACACACAATTGAGAAGAAGTGCTTACGATTAATATAAATTCAATGTCGAGAAAGCAACGAGAAATCCAAATCCAAAAGCTAGAAAAGGAGTTTTTACTCTCCACACTCCAATCCAAGACCAAGAAAAAAAATATGTTTTGGTATTGAAAAACTAAGAAAAACCAAGTCTGGAATGTCTAAATTCGTCCCAAAATCGATCCTTGTACCCTGCCATTCGAAATTCTGAGAAAATAGCTTCAGTTACAAAACGGGGATTAGCGGCACTAAGGGGTTAGCGCCGCTATGGCTGAAAACCTCGAGCTGTTGCCCATCGCTATGCTGTGTAGCGCCGCTAGCTGGGTTGGCCATTGCGGCGCTATGTCCTAGGCAGCTTCCAAAATTTCCAAGTTTTGAACTCGTGAGCTCTGGTCTAGCATTTCTCGGGTACTGCCCGAGATATAAACTCAATCTCAGCGTGCTTAAGTCGTACGAACCAGTGTGAAACTCTTAGGAACCGGAACCGCATATCCCTTTCATCATCTGCAACATGAAAACCACCACAAATGGAAAAACATGAAAACACGAGAAAAATAGGAGAGAAAACAAAGAAAATACTAAACACACGAAAATAAAGATAAAAACGCAAGAAACGACAAAAGAGACTGGAAATTTCTAAGAAAAGACCTAAATCGAGGGAAACAACACACAAAATACTGACGAAAATAACCACAAAAATAGGACAAACAATGAACCAAATTACGTTTCCGCTATCTTTATATTTTCATAAGTCAAATACTCCATGAATCAGTATCTTATGATGTTAATCTATCCCAATGTGTGATAGAGTTCAGGTGAAGATCAAACCAAAGGCATACACTGAAAAGCTTGGAACTTTCTCTCTCTACCTAAAGAGAAAGGGGCTTGGCTTTATGGATCTTCATCTTTTTAACATAGCTTTGATCTGTAAGCAACTCTGGAGGATTTACTTTCAACCTAACTTACTTGTCAGCAGGGTCTTGAAGGAGAAATATTTTCCCAATTGCTCCATTTTTGAGGATGTCAAATCTCAGAGCTGCTCTTGGTTATGGGGTAACTGGCTAGAGGTGCTACCTACATTTTTTAAAGGGTTTGTAGTTGAAATCAGGAATGGAGCAACCACTAGATTGGAGGATGTCAACTGGGTGCCCAACTTAATGCAGCCTAAACCTGAGCTTATGAGCCTGGCTAGAGGCCACCTAATATGGGTAAAGGATCTTCTCAATGACTCGGGGATTGGATGGAATGAATGGTTGGTCAAGCAAGTGTTCAATGCTCAGGATAGTGAAGCTATTCTTGCAATCAATACTATCAAGGCAGACAGGGAAGACAGAAGGTACTGGTTGTTCAACAAGAAAGGTAGACAGGGAAGACAGAAGGTACTGGTTGTTCAACAAGAAAGGTGATTTTTTCAGTGGCTAACACCTTTTCTTACTTGTCCCAGCATAAACTGCTTGCAATAGATTTACCTGATTGTAGCTCAATTGCTGGCCCATCACGTACCAAAATCAAGCAGAGGCTTTGGAAACTCAAGGTGGTTAGTAAAATTAAACTTTTTATCTGGAAGTGTATTTCTGCACTCCCAGTTAAAGTTAATCTCTTAAACAGAAGCCTGAAGATGGATGCTATTTGCAGCATTTGTGGTGAGGAACCAGAATCAATCACTCATTTTCTGTTTTCTTGTAAAAGAGTTGTTCTTATGTGGAAACTATCACAAGTGTCTTGGAGTAGACTCCCTGATCAGAACCTATCTTTCAGAGGCTGGTGCCATGAAATCTGTTCCATTGATGCATCAGAGATATCAGAGGCTCGAATTCAACTGACAACTTATATCCTCTGGTGGCTCTGGAAGTCTCACAACCTCTGCATTTTCCAAGATATTCTCATGCCTATCCCAGTCACATTGAAGATTGCTCACCAAGGTTGGATGGCTTTTGTTGATTTGTAGTTTATTTTGCTCTTCAGTTTGTTCTTTTACTGTTCCTTTTTCTGTTTCCTCTTAGTTTGGGTTTCTGGTTCTGTATTTAGCTTCCCTAGTCGGTTTCTTCGCTAGGCCTTTGGGCAGTGGAGTTTTCTTGCTTTGTGTTTCTAGTAGTAGTTTGGTTGAGGTTTTAGGCCGCTTAATGCGTGTCCTTAGATTTTTCTTGTTTCGTTGTTGTTATGTATATTCGAACTTGGTTCATTTTGAGTTATAATATCTTTATCGTTTCGTAAAAAACAAAAAAAAAAAGAGAAAAAAATTGTTACACATGCTTATGGTTAATTAAGACAAAAACTGTTATATTTTATTTTAATTGAGCAATAATTATATTTTTTAGGGCCGGGGCTATGGGCCAGGTAGACCGGCGGCCATGTCTAGATCAATTCAGTCGAATTCCTTTTATTTGGGTATGATCCTCCACCAAATGCCCCATTTTTTATTCTACTTAAGAGAACCCTAATGAACCAAAGAAGAAAATAAAAAGGTAGCATTTTTCACTATTGTTCTAAGTTGAACGCATAATACTAAACGAAAAGTGCTTATGAAATATTTGAAATTTGAAGTATATATCAATCATTTTTTTTATTTTATTTAGTTTTGTCAAAGTCGAGCCGTTCTTATTGTAGGCTTCGGGAGAAGTAAAATAAGANAAAAAAAAAAAAAAAAAAAAAAAAAAAGAGATTGACAAAACGATAATAATAAATAAAAGTGGGGATTAGTCACAAAAAAATATTTTTTTTTAAGAAAATAATGCGATCAAATAAAAATGGTCCAAACACTATAAAAGACAAAAGTATAGTTGCCATGTTTCAATTAATGAAAAAGAAAAGAACAAAATTAACAAATAAG